GAGGCTGAGAAAAAAGGTATATGGTAATTAGAGCCCATACAGTTTTCCGTGCAGCTTAAAAGGTGGCAGTCCCCAAATTTTAACTGTGACCTTTTAAATCATGCTCATGGTCTTTTGATTTATTCTGAGCGTGTAACTGCTCTTATGTTTAAAAAAAATACCCATCAGTAGTTCATCAGAGATGGGCATTTTGAATCTCGTGCACAGCCGTGCTCTGCACTAGTAAGGTGTTTGACAGCAGCAGCAGGTTTTCAGCTGAGCCAACAGTGTTGGATGAGGTGTAATTCACCAGTGAGTTTCAGGTATTTGTTGAGATGCTGGAGCTATGTGGTTTTCTATTCAGAACTTTGTGGGGAATATGTTTTAGAGGATACAGAAAGTGCTACCTGTGTGCTTTCTGTGCCGCCTTTGTCCCTACCATTCCATTTCTGATCTCAGTTCTCTGTCCAAGCTCATCTGTCCCCTCCTCCATGTCCACCCCAGCTCTGACTCTCAAGCAGCTCCTTCCAATCCAAGTCTTCTTACCCAAGTGGCTGCCTTCTTTCAGACAAGCTCCCCAAATCCTAGTTTCTGCTCCATGCTTCCTTAACGAGTCCTGTTGCTCATCATGCAGTCAGTCTGTCCCTGTCTCTTCTTCCTTTTGCCCGATCTCGGTTTGTTTGCTGCCACTCTCATCGGGCCTGCACAGGTCGGTCTCCTGGTTTTCTTATGCTGTAAGTCATAGTAATTTTTTTTCCCCTATCTTCAACTTGCATCTATTTCCCATCTCATTGCACTTTTTCCTAGTTCCCAGTCCTGGTGTTTTTCGTCTTTGTATTTTAACCAGCTTTGTTTCTTTTTTGGCTTCAGTGCCAGTAAGGTGGGTCTCTGGGTAGGCACACAGCGGAGATGAGGACTCAGCTCTCTGAGGCCTGCTTTACTTGCTCAGGACAATTTGTGAACACTACGTTTGTGGAAACTTTGTCTTGGCTTACATAACCTTGAGCTGGAAGGAGCAGCCTTACTTTCTTTTCAGCTGACAAATGATCAGAAGTAGGATCACTAAAGTTTCAGACAGACAACTTACTTTCATGCTTACTCCTCGTGTCTTACTGTGTAGAAGTTACTGTTCTTTTTAAACGTGTAGCTTGCTTTTATTTAATGAAAGTCTGTCTGCAGGTGTGTTTGGTTTTTTATAATGAGCCTGAAGGGGAACTTGATATTCTGAGAAGGATGGTTACTTAAATTTACTTATGTGTTTGTAAAGGTACATTGATGAAGATTTTAAATTAGCAGGCGTTGCTGTGTCTTACAGAATGGGGAGCTACGAATGCAAAGGGCAGAGTTAGTAATACAGCATTTGGCATCAACTGTTGTGTGCCCTGCCTCCTTGGATGCTTGATTTCTCATCCTTAGTGCCGCAGTAATACCGGATTTGTAAATGGAATAGCTGACAATTTGTGTACCCATTTCACAAACTTTTACTTGCTCTCTGAAAATCAATTTTCAGTTGGTCCCATGATCTGTGTATCAAGTTTCTTAAGCATACAGGTCTTAGTGGGATTCCAGCATACATCTGAGAATCACTTCTTGCCGTAGGGTAATAGCTCTCACGTCACAGCTGTGTCAGTGATAGTGAGTATCTGTGTGGGATTGGATATTAGTAATATTGTTCAGACCTTGTATTTTTCATCGTGAGAATGACATAGGAGTAGTGAAATTGTAGGTCTTGATTTTCATACTGATTCATCCTCTGTCTTCCTCCCGAATAACTTCTATTATAGTGAATAATGAAGTAATCTAGGTGATAATTTTTATTGATGTGTATTTAAAGAAGAAGAGTAGCACATCAGACTAATCGCATTAAGTCCCCTGCAAAATGTTATTTAAGATGTAAATTGTTTTTGTGACATACTGTTTAATTATTTCAACTTGCAATGTGCTTTTCCCTTTCAATTGAAAAATAGATCAGGGTTTCCAAGGACAGTTTGGTAAAATGAACCCTCCTTCTGTCCCTTGGGACCATGGGACCCCTACCCATTTTCCTCTCCTCCGAGGAGCGTGGCCTTACAATATGCCTCAGAACTACATGCAGCAGGGAAATGCCAGCTACCCACCGAACAAACCTTTCTACCCTCAAGGTACTAGCACTAGTATATGAATCAACAGCTCATGCAACATGTCTCTTTGCTGTCTCAAGGGCTTTATAAGCCAAAGAACCAGGTTTCACTTGTTAGGCTCCCAGGAACCATAGTGAATGCAAGAGTCAAATCAACACTTCAGCTTTCTTTATGGATGGATGAAAATCTTTGTGGGAGGGAAGGGGTTAAATCAAATGCTGAAATCTGAGCCAATTTGCAGTGTGTTGCACTTCTAGCCTCAGTTTCCTTGCCCTCACTGCAGAGCCAGCTCTGCTTCAATAGAGGTTAAGATGACTTGCCCATGAGCATGTTAAGAATACGAAGAAACTTTTGTCCTAATTCATTTTATTTGGCTTTTGCACCTTGCCTTGTGGAATGATGTACGTAGCTAAAAACTCACAGGACCGTAGAATAATTCAGGTTGGAAGGGGCCTATCTAGTCCCACCCGTCTGCAGACAAAGCAGCACAAACTTCAGAGTTAGATCAGGTTCAGTTATTCAGGGTGCTCTGAAGGACTGACTTCATCTGGCAGGATTGGGAAAGGCCGTAGGAAAAAGACCTTTGGCTCCACTAAGAGGGAAGCTATGCCCCAGTTTTACTTGGAGGCTTTGCAATTACCGTGTTGCTGGGTCACCTAGTCTAAAATGAGAAATACCGGCACCAAATCCTTCTTTTCAGATTCTAATACACTGGCTGTAGCGATGTTTCTTAGTGAGACCTATATTGAAAAATCCTGAAATTACTTTCGTTACTTATTAAAAGTAACGCAACAAAGTGACGTATTGATGATTCTGAGGGAATTTTGGGGATAGGACTGAAGTAACGCTACGCCACCCCATTAAATGGGTTGGTCGTACAGACAGCATTTGTGTCAGTCTAGTAAATGGCTTTATTTCTAAGTAAGGTTTATGCATTGAATGTAGCCAAGCACTGTTAAATATATTTAATTTGCTGAAGTAACTGTAATCCATTTTCTTTTAGCTGGTCCACTGATGCAGAGTAACCAGCGGTTCTCGCTTCTGTCTCAAGGACACCCACACTTGAATCTGAATTACATTCAACAGAAAAAGTGAAATTTAATGGAATTTGTGGGCGGGTGGGGGGAGGGGAGAAGAAAAATTCAGGTTCTGATTTAAAATCTTAATGCAACATGTTTAGATACAAGATTATTTAAGACTGTTTTTAAACTGTATCATTTGTACATAGATATGAACTATAGTTTTTACTAGTATCACCGAACCGAGTGATACAAATTTCATCTATTTTATTACCCTATTTTTAAGGGGAATTGTGTTTTGTTTTATCTTGATAAACTGTAAAGAGAGAGGATTTTTAAAATTAAGTTCTTTATTTTCTATTAGCTGTATTCATACTTTGGTTGCTTCAGACTTTATATATATTGTTCTAAAAAATAAAATTAGAAGGGGATTTCATGTGTTTAAAAATTTGTCACTTCTATTCTTTACAGAACTATGTAGTGCCAAAAAACTTTTTAAAAGAAAATAAAACTGAAAGGACGCAAGCCTTTTTCCTCTTCCCTATTTGTATGCATGCTTGCATTTATCTGTTCCTAGGAAACTGGAGAGGTAAAACCAGCTTTAATTTAGAGATCTTGAAGAAGAGGTGAAAGATGAGCAGCTTTAAGGGGGTGCACAATCTGTATACCTGGTTTCCACCACACCGAGGTCAGCGCGTGTGCTGCTTATGGCCAACGTGTCTTTCTTGTAAAATACTTGAGGGAAGAATTCACCTGCTTTTCTGTTCATAAACTTTGCAAAACAGCGTGCAGATACTGCAGAAAAAAATCAGGCTGTACGATGAGGTAATTTTAAAGAAACCTGCCATAAATTCATTGGCATTCTATGTTTTGTCTTGTCAACACGCATTGGGTGACGTTTGGAACTACTTAGGCCACAAGTGCAGCGTTCAGGAGAGAAACCTGTCAGTCCCTGCTCCTGAAGCAAGACTGTGACTACAGAGATGGCACACGAGGGGCTTAACACAACTGATTTCCTGTGATACATAATTAGATGTACTAAGATTAGAACTGTAACTTGAGTAAGAGCTTAAGCATTCTTAATTTGCAAAATAAGGCTTCACCAAGTGCTAACTTCATTCAGAGAAAGCAGAGCTGAACATAACTGTGTCAAGACTGTTCCTAGTCACAGGTGGGCCACAAATGGTGCTCAAAGTAGTGGTTTAGTTCTTTTCAGGCAAGAAGTTCAGTATATTTAAAGACAGCTTAGTACTACCTGAGGCTTCTAGACTGTGACAGTAGCATCAGAAGCGGCGTATCATTAGGACTTGAGGATGATGTTTACAAAGGAACCAGGAACAGCTGAGTTTAAGTTAGCTTTTCCTTTTAGTAAACACTCTGTCATACTCCAGTCTTCCTTCTTTTCCTGTACTGGAGGTTTGAGATGGTTCGGGCGGGTACATCTTCAGTGTCTGTAACTCGGACATACTCCCAGTTTGGCAGTGAACGCAGGGGCCGTTTCTCTAACAACGCCCTGGTTTGAGAACGAAGCCAGCTTCAACTAGAAGCCTAAACAAAGTGTTAGGAAAGAAACAGCAAGGAGCCTTTAAAGATACACACCCTCTTCTTTTTTTTATTGCTCTTCACTAGTTTTTACAGGCCTTGAGAAAACAGTTTAAAAACAATCCTCAGATTCTATCACAAGGATGAGTAACTACATAAAAATGAGCCTTAGCTTTCTTTCAATTAAAAAAAAACCCCAAAGAAGCAAGACTCATACAAGAAGAGAAGGGTTACAGAAAAGGACTGCTAGAGCAGCCAGTACACATCCAGCTGCCCTGTAAAGTAGGACAGTGTTAGACTGCAGTTCAAGGTCCTTACACTGTGTGCTGGATTTGGTTTGTTACTCATTCCCTCGCCGACTCTTCTTGTGACTTTTCTTAGATCTGAAACGGCGGGAAAAAAGAGCCATATGACACAGCACTAGTAATTGTTCTAAAAGTCCAAGGTGATTCAAAGCAGTAAGTGGTGTTTTCTCTGGTCCAGTATGGATTGTGTGACTTGGCTACAACACTGAGGAAAGTACCATATGGAATATTTCATCTCCAACACTGGAAGAAGACCTCAGTCCCCAAGGTGCAATGACAAGTTAAGAGCTTCTACAGCAGTACAGACACCCTTAAAAAATAGGCCAAGCTGTTACCTTTCTGGTGATTTGGAATGACTTCTGTGTCTGTGACTACGGTGGTGCCCTAGGAGATAAAAAGATAAGGGTTAACTTCCTTACACCGTGGAATTCTTTTTTGCTTTGCTAATGCAATCTGCTTCTGGTGCCCAGCTGTCCTAGACAATGCCAGAACAACCCCAACCTTAATTAGGCACTTTAACCTCCTGGAAACCCTTGAAAAACATACTGAAGGCAATTTTGCATGTATTCAAGGAGTTCTCCAGCTGTGCTTCCATATAACTAGCAGTTTGATGAGCCAGATTAAGCACCTATGCTACCTTCCTGAAACTGTGACACAGATTTTTCTTGCAGTGGATGTTCTGCTGGTAAAGACTTGCCAGAGTCCATCTGGAAACAACAAATATACCTGGAGATTTAGATCTTGATCTGTGGCGCCTCTCCCTAGATCTGCTACGGTGTCGTCTCGGGCTTTTGCTGCGATGCCTCTCCCGGCGTGGTGACGGACTGAAAGGAAGCAGGTTTTTAAGACGGCCACGCTAAAAACACACACATTCTAATATTAAATAATTGAGTAAAAGATTACCTCCTCCTCTTTGGAGAGCGGCTTCGCCTGTTATTGGGAGAGAAAAGAAGTTGTTGCTAAAAGTCATTAGCAAAACCAGCTGTTTACTTTCCTATACTCTCCAGCAACAGGGTATTCCTTGCATTCCCCTGTCTCCCCAGTTCGTGTGTGTGAGTACATGCTTCTGGGCTGGCCCATACAGAGCAAATGAGGTTAGTGAGGTGTTTCTCCTGGTTATTATCAGTAAGAACAATTAACAGGATTTCTCTGCAGCCTCTGGCTTACAGGAAAATAAAGCATGTGATTCTCCTTAATACATATCTTCACTGTATCATCAGATTTAGCTGAGGTTGGCCAGGAAATTCAAGAGTTACTGAAGGACTAGAGAACCAGGCAGATGGGTTGGCTGTGGCTTTGTACTGCAACGCCTTATATGAGGAAGGGGCTAAAGGAATTGGGAGGTGTAAGAGACTCTGGCTGATGGTCATCTTTGCTTCTGCGCTTTGCTCCAACCAGCTGCAGTATGGTAAGTAAAAACGGTCCGTAAGAAGAGCCACGTCACCTTCTTGGAGACCTGCTTCGGCTCCGCCTGTACCGTACAGCTGGCGATCTGCGAGGTTTATCGAGGTCTCTGTAGCCCCTCCGGCGGTGGTCAGGAGAGGGCGCTCGTTCCAGCTGGAAACAATGGCACGTGGGAAAGGTTCTGTAAGTCTCGTTTCATAAAGGGTTTTATCTATCAGGAAGGATTTCTGAACAATTAGTATGCATGACAGAAGTCATGCAGTCAAGCTCCTGCATCCTCAAGTATTTCAGACACAGAAGTGGCTGGTACTGCCAGCTGGAAACTAAAAGGGCCACCCCTCATACTGCTGGTTCTTAAGAGTTAAAACAGAGCTGACTGTGATGGTCATCTCAACTTTTGTCTTCACCTTTCATTCTCTCCAATATGTATGAATATAAAACAATTTATCTGAGGTATGTTTAGGTAACACAGAACAGATCCAGATTTGTGAATTTCAGGAGACAGAAAAGCTTGACAAACGCAGAGCGCCTGACAACTGCTCCAGGGTCTAACAAGTTCTCACAGGCAGCTTATCTAGAAATGTTTGGGGGGGAGGTAAGAGTTGCAAGCAGCCTCCTGGTGCCTCCCCTCAAATATTTCTCAAATGCCATAAAGTATTCTGCAGGCATTCAGCACCAGCCTTAACTATCTCTTTCCAAAATAATTCACCAACCTTTTCATCTTCCTCTTCCTCCTCCTCACTGGATTCTACATCATCCATGTCTTCTTCCAAAGCACTAACACGAGGCTCGAGTTGCTCAGCTTCTTCTAAAACATATCGTTTCTAGGAAAAATCACAACTTTATCTGACATAATCCAAGTGAAAACAAACACCTAAGGAGGCATCTCATGTGCCAGCAGGGTCTGTATCGTAGCTTTAAGCAACAAGCCAGAAGCTGATGCACCAACTGAATCTGATGCCGTTAAGAATTCAGTAACCATCTACTTTTCCAAACCTGTAATCGAGGCAGAATGATATCGCATACACGTTCCTCGTGGAGCAGTTCGTCTATAAATTCATCCACGTGCATCAGTTCAAATTCTGGGGGGAGGAAAACAGCATTTAAAAAGACAAAATTAACACTAGTGGCTAAAGATGAAACACTCCAATCAATTTGTGTCAAGTGGGCTGTATAAACAGTTCTAAAGTCATTCTCAAAGATGAGGCAAAGAGTAGGCAAAAGGAGAAGATTGCTGCACTGTCTGGATTAGCAGATTCATAGTGCTTCAACCAGCACTCAAATAGTGTCTCTTTGTATTTGTGGAACTGTGTTTCAGTGCCCAACAGAAACGTCACCCACGTGGGGAAGGCAGAATAAGCAAGGCAGTTCTCATTTGTACAAGTTAGCAAGACCAGCAACAAACTAACCAAAGGATGAGTGAGTGAAATTAAGGTTTAAAAAAAGATGGTCATGGTACAATTGTTGAAGAGTATATTACTAAACAATTTGCTTTTATCTAGCACGATACGTTTTTTCCCCAACGGGTTATCTATGTGGTACTAAGAACTAAGCAAGAGTGCTTACCCCCATTTCTGTTCTGACTTTTTATTTTTCGGTAGTCATTGTACAGTGGCTCAAGGTACTTGTAGCAGTCAATGGCTGTGCCTGTCAGTCTCATGTACAGCGCACCAAGCATTCGGACGTACCTGGAACGTAAACCGTTGGGCGTTATCTGAGCTTTTCCCATAGTCAGCCATTTAGACACGAGAGTTTTTCCTGCAAGTTTCTGAGGAAAATCGGTACGCTGAAGTAAACTGAGTAACTGACCGTTTAGACTCTCTCCTTCAAGTGCTCAAGTGTATATACGCTCAAGTGTACACATAGAATCTCTGTATAGGCTGCTCATACATGCCGGAACTGCACTATCGCTCATCAAAAGAAACCCTAAAGGAAAGGTAGATTAACGTGTCTCCCTGAATGCACATCATCCTAAATACTTCAGGCAGAGGTGTATGGTCACAGAGAGCACACGCCACAAAGGCAAGCAGTTCCGACTGCCCCAGCAAGGCGGCCAGCAGTCTTTTGAGAGCAAGAGGTGGGAAGTGCTTTCAGGGCCCACTGAATGCTAAACCCTGCACTGAGGCTTCCTTGGCTACTTTGGACACCCACGTTTCGATCAGTATGAAAACCAAAAGAGGGACAAAAACCCGTGCGAATGCACTTACTTGAAGTCCTCATTTTTTATGAACTCCACGATGATGTCCTTCTCGGGCTGGATCTGCAGCATCTTCAGCGTCAAGCACAAGAAGGGCGTAGGCTTAATGTTCCCGCCATAGACGCCCCCCACGTACTTCAGCTCCATGGCCTTGTCCACCACCAGCTCGGCTAGGAGAGCGACCGGCCGTCAGCACAAGCGCCTCACAGAGCCCCT